TTTTATTTCGCCTCTATCCGTCTGTGCCTACTTATTTTTCCTTTTAAGCCAGAGAATTTAAGTTTTTATAAGAATAAAGTAAGTGTATAAATTATCTTCCCAAAAAAATCACTTAGGCTACTGTAGGGGCAAAAATTCGTCAATTATAATAAATTGAAGAATTAAAACAAAATACTCAATAAAATAACAAATTATAAACAATAGAACGTTCAGAGAATTTTTGGATCATCTTTATTGAAAACTCATGCCTCTATTTATACAAAGTTTAATGATAAAATATGGTAAGAATCGTCTTACTTGTCCGTTTTATTCACCATTATTGTCATAATCTTCCATGTAAAGCTTTTCTTCTATATGAGATTCTTTCTTGGTATAAAATCTTCCCTGTAAAGCTTTTTTTCTATGCATGGTATTTGCTTCGTATAGATTCTTCCTTGTGAGGCTCCCTTGATAAGTAATTGACTTGATCCAAATCATGGATAATCTTTATCCTAGCTGTATATTAGACTGAGGATGCATAGAGTTAATATGGTGTTGGGCTGATGATAGTTCTTTTGAGCCGTGTCAAGCTGGGCTTGAAGATCTTGTTGCCCAATAGAGATGTGTCACAATTTACTTAATGACGTGACTGATATATATTGGTAGGGGGATTTTTCCTTCCACAGCTACCTTAAAACAACAAAGTCTGTCAATCAATAATTATTATGCTGTGTGTTCGAAACGTTCACAAGATTCGTTCACGGAGGGTGAGTCACGGGACCTAAGATTAGGTTGAAAGGTACAAAAGGCAAATATTCTTGTACTTCCCCCTAGGATGCTAGGTTAGCCGACCTACGGGGTGGAGATGATCGGGTTGGTTCATGAATTTTCCTTCTTTGGTTGTAAGGAGATGGGGCATCAAGTTGTTTGAATCGGTGCTTTAGATGAAATTTAGTCCCCTTTAGGCTCCGTTAACGTAAAATATTTTTTAAAAAATTTATTCATAAAATATTTACGATTAAATAAAAAAAAAATTATTAAAATTTAACAAAAATAACTTATACATAAATTTTCAACAAGTTATTTTACATGCCTCGACGTAAACCTTTGTCTAACACTGACAAAATAAAAGAATATTTTACCTAAAAATATATATATATATATATTTTTCAAAACGAATATTTTAGATCGGAGCCTTAATTTCAGATTCAAATGTATTTCCAAAACATAGCATTAGTCTTTTCTGCTTGTATTCTAATTGGTGATGAAGTTGTGCTGCTCAATGCAACTCCGTCAAACCAAATTTGCACCTTCTCTTCTTCATTTTCCATGAAAGTTAAGATGACATTTAAGACCACAAGAACGTTCATGGGCAGGTCATGAACTGACCTTGGGCAATTTTTCAAGAATTATAGATCTTAGGTTCAATTACTTTCCAAATTTACTCTATACATGTGATCGATCTCTGATAATTTGTTTGAATTTTTAAGTATTAACTCTAATTCGAAATTGGTATTAATTCTAACTTGAAAGTGGTCGAGTAAATAGTATCATACTAATAAGAAAAAAACATCACCACATGCCAAAAGATTTAATCCACATCTTATGAACTTCAGGTGAATATATTTATTTTATTATTAATTGTTGTTTTATTGAAGTGTTTTGGTTAATTTGTATAATTGGATGATCGACCATAAATTTTCTTACTTTCTTTCATCTTGTTATTATTATTTTATTATTATTAGTATTATTTTCAAAACGAAATAGTAATAGACATATTATGACCACTTTAATAATCTTTCAATTCATTGATTAATTTTATTTCATATATGACCACTATTTATTATGTTACACTGACTTTATCAAATCACTTTATTTTGTACCCTTTGGGTGCATTATAATAAAAGTGGTTACATGAATGTTAACCATTCATTTTCAATTTATTTTAAGATTAACATATGATTATCCAAATAATTAAATATTTTGGTTGGCTGCTTTTTGTGTGATTTAAAGCAATTATATATTTTTTTGAATGGTCCAAATTAGAGAGAATCATCACCTAAATTATTGATATTGATATATTCAAAAGAAGTTTTGATGGTGAGAGAGTGCTGATTTTACCTTTTTGCGTATATTGCCAAGGCAGGATCAACAAAAATGAAATGATTCCTTTGAGTTCTTAACTATTTGTGTTATTGCATTAATTTCTTTTACATTTTATATATATTACAAAAGATGCTCATATACCTCAAAATGCAAAAGTAAAAGAAAGCCATAGCAAATATGGGCTTATTAATTTTCCCAAAAAAAAAAAAAAAAGAAGAAGTAATTATGGGCTAATTATAAATGGTTCACACGGATTGTTCATCTTGAATAGGGTTAACTGCCAAAAAGTAAAAATAAAAATACCTCTGAATTCTTTTTGCTCTTATACTCACTAATTTTACTTTTTTGAATTATATGCTTGCAAAATTTTGAATTTGTCGGTTAACAATTCGTGTTTGCGTGCTGTGTTCGTGTTGACACGATTACGACCCGAACATGATTAGAATCGATACAAACACGACACTATTATTAATCGTGTCTAAGACCCTTGACATGAACACGACACGTTTAGCTAGCGGGTCAATCCGTGTCGATACGAACACAATTAGTCCAAATCTAAACCTTTTTATCTCATGCCGTGTTAACGTGTCGTGTCAAATATTACCACCTCTTTATCCTCACTATTATGCCTCTAGTGCATTTTTTGTTAAAGGTCTCCCCCTCCCACTTACTTTTCTGAATCCATCCTAATCTTTTTTCATTTTATACATTATAAATCTATTGTTAAATTTTATTTCATACCGTTTAATTGGTCTTCAATTGGACAGATAGGTAATATCACTCAGAGGCAAACAAATAAAATCCAAGAGGGAGTGGTTAACAAATCTTTAATAAGAGAAATTGATTTTACCTTTTTGTATATTGCCAAAACAGCATCAACAATATGAAATGGATCCTTTTGAGTTTTTAACTATTTATGTTGTTATGTCTTTAATTTCTTTTTCATTTTATACATTTTAAAATATGCTTTTTCTCTCTTCTTAAAAAAAAAGTAAAAGACAGCCAAAGCAAATAAGGACCTATTATTATGGGCCTATTAGTTTTAAATAAATAAATAATAATAATCCTCTTGTGCTATACAACTTTTGTAAGTTGTGATGGAAATTACATATTAGAGAGAAACCAACTATAAGATTCCAAATTTTTTGAAAAAGGAAACAAATACCATATAAAGTTAAAGCTTTGAGGAACTTGATTGAAAGTGAAGTGACAAATTAACTTTCTTTTTTTTTTTTTTCCAATTTTTTTAAAATTCATTTTGATTCTAGAAAAGTCACTTTTATGACCCATTTAAATCTTTAACCTTTAACACAAAATTGGAATTTGGACAGTGTTGTGGTTTTGCAATTTGTTGTGTTATATTGTACAATTTTAATCCCTTATTAGAAACATTTTTAATCATTATTTAGGAATAATGAGGTTCTGAATATGGTCATTAGGTGAAAATCTTATTTAGTTTGACCTAATTTTAAAGGACAATACTTGCCTACTCACTGGTGAGTAGAAAATTTCTACTGATTAGGTAGATTGCATAATAAAATTATAACAAGTGTCCTAAAATTTATAAAATATAAATTATAACAAAAATAAAATTAGAACTAGTTTGACCCATTTTTAATTGAATTCACAATATCTTTTACAATTTTCGTCTAGTACATGTATACATCCTTGACCACAATCCCTATAAATATCAGATATGCGTATGGGCGTTATAAAAAAATAATTGAATTGAGATATAGCAATAGTGTTTTCAGGGGTTAGTTTTGCTCTCTACCTTCTCAAAGTGGAGAGTATGTGATTGATATGAAGAATCATTACTAGAATCATAAAATGCTTCCGGTTTGTGTTTTTAAAAAAAAAAAAAAAAGTTTTTGCCCTTCTCTCGTTCAACTTAGGATTGTTGCAGTGAGAATGAAGATTACTTTGGAAGTGGAGGTGAGTGGGCATTTTAATAACATGTTTTTGTTTGTTTATCCATATATGTATATATATGAATTTATATTTGTACAGTTATGGTGAAATCTAAATTTTGATTGATTCCGAAGAACAAAAACAATATATTGTTTTAGGAAGATCTTATTTTTGGAATGTATTGTTTTAGGAAGTTTGAATCCTAATTTTTCTCTACTTTAAAAGCTAATGTTGTACCTATGTATGTACAAGTGTGTATAGATATATATGGAGAGAAAGATGCGATTAACCCAATTAAAATGAATTAAATACGTTCTGGTTCTATTTTTGTTATATTTTATATTTTATAAAATTTAAAACAATTGTCATAATTTTATTATGCCACCTATTGAGTCAGTAGAGACTCCCTACTAACCGATGAATGGACATTTTAATATATTGTTAAGATTACTTTGGAAATGAAGGTGAATCGGCATTCAATTCCGAAGAACAAAAACAATATATTGTTTGGATTACTTTGGAAGTGGAGGTGAATGGGCAATTTTGTCCAATTTTAAATGGATAAGACTTGCTTATTCATTAGTGAGCAGGTCACTCTACGACAGCTGATGTGGTTCAATCACAAATGTACAAATAGTTTATAATTACAAAATCTTAAAATTGATAAATAAGAAAATGAGATGGTGATTGAATTTATTTCCAAAAAAAAAAAAAAAAAAGATATTATCCTTATTTATCACTTTTATGATTTTGTATTTACCAGTTATTTGTATATTTATAATTGGACGATATCAACTATAAATAGGGATGACCTACTCACCAGAGAGTAGGCAAATCTTATCCATTTTAAAATGGATAATGTATTACTCCCTCTATCCCAATTTAGATGTCATGTCACTTTTGGGGAGTAGAAATTTCCCAATTTAGATGTCATGTCACTTTTGGGGAGTAGAAATTTTTAAGGAGACATGTGAGACATGCCTTGTCTCCCTGAAAAGTTACTAATTTGTCTTTTTAAGTTTTGAATATTCAAGTTTGAAATTTTAAATTCGAATAACATATATGAAAAGATGTAAAATATCTTGTTTAAAAAAGGAAAGTGACAATTATTTTGGGATAGACCAAAAAGGAAAGGATGATATTTTTTTTTTTTTTGGACAGAAGGAGTATTAATTGTCATTTGAGGGGATTGAGTGCATTTTGATAAATTAAAAGTCCCAATTTTGTAATTAGTTTGAAAAGTTGAGAAATGGTGTAAATAATTTTTACAACTTGCTCGATTGGTAATATAAACTCCAAAACTAGTCCGCTTTTTGAGTCATTAAAATCCACCAATTTGACTCGTTTTAGGAGGATGATAACGAATCGACTCTTTTGACTTACATATAAAGCCTCGTACGTAAAGACAAAAAGCACAGGTTTGTCCCGCCTTTCTTTATAATTTACTTATTGCCTTCTAAAATTTGTGTAATTTACAGAATTGACATGCTGATCTTTAAAGATGACGTCATTGGCCATACTCATCAACGGCTGGATCGAGTCCGGGGAGAATTTTCTAGCGAATAAGAACGGGTCACGCCTTCTCCTCACAGACGAATCAGAGCCGTTGATACCAACAGCACCGTATCTAGGCCGGTGCTTTCTCAAAGACATGATCAGATTTGGGCCCACCTCAGCTGCACCGTACGTGCGAGGGTGATCATCATGACGACCTTTCCAGTCAACGTGAGTCAGCGTCGCTGGCACGCATCCACGTGGGTCCTTCATGCTCATGAGCGTAGGGAAGTAATGCTCCTCAGGGTAACACGTGGAAGTTTTTAGACACGGTAGCTTGAACTTAGACCACAGTCGCCTGTCACTTACGGCTATCCTTGCGTGCCGACGTGTCAACACGAAGAACTGAGACCCAATTCTAAAACTCTCGAACCTCACCTCCGGAAGCATCACGCCTTCCCCACGCGCCGCCCACCTGTCATACGCGCCGGCCTCATTTTTCAAGATTTCGATGAAGCTTTTCTTTGACCTGATTAGTGTTTTGTAGGTGAAGTTGAAGGAGTGTAGGGGTATGCACGAAGCGGATAGAAGGGCAAACATGGAATTTGACGGGTCGTGGAGAAGCGCTTGAGAAAGCAAGCGACGCGCCGCCGCGATGAGAGTGGGTGAGTACCGGCGAGTGGGTTTGGAGGGTATGACTCGGTGGTCGAACACGCCGCGAAACGGCGGGTCGTAGTAGATTCTTGGGTCGGCGTGTATGTAGATGTTGTAGAGATTTTTGGGGGTGTGGTTGAAGAAGAGCTCCCAAAGTGGCGCGAAAGGGAGTGGCGTGGTGGTGAGGAACATGAAGGCGAGTTTCTTCCGCGAACCGGCGGGCGATGGCTTTGGGTTGACTCGGGCGGCGAGTCGGAACAGTGAGTCATCGTCATCTTCTTCCGCCGGCCGCGGTGGTGGTGGAGAGGTGGCGGTTGTGTTCTTGTTTTTTTGTTGTGTTTTTATTGTGGGTGTGAATGTGGGTACTATTGGGTACACACCACTTCTGTTAGTGGTGGTGTTGCTGGTGGTGGAAATGGTGGTGGCGCCACCAGTTGTGGTGGTGTTTGGGGGAGTGGTTGTGATGGTGAATACAACAGCTAGAGGCAAGCAGAGGAGGAGAGCACAGAAAAGGGACAGTGGATTTGGGGACAGCATGGTTTTCGTTTGCTCAGTGATTGATTTTGAGAGAGAGAGAGAGAAAGAGTAAGAGTAAAGTGGGATTTAGTGGGGGCGGTTGGGTTTAGTGATTGCTAAATTGACGGCGGCGATGGGGGATAAACATGACATATATATATATATATATATATATATATATATATATATATATATATATATGATACAACCTCAACGGACTGACCAAAGAGATCTTTACACTTCAGTTCTGTAATTAGATCATATTGTTTGTACTATACACTATGTTAATGGCGTGTATAAAATAGTGTTAAGAACACGTGTTCTCATACATCCACTTTTACTTTATAACGGAAAAACCCTAAAATCAAATCCATTGGTTTAGATGCTCAAAACTGTGATTATCCCATGTTTGCCAAAGATACAAATGAAACTAGTGTGATCAAACAACTTGTCGTGTTCTTTTTTCTTTTCTTTTCCTTTTATTTTTTTTGAATAAATATATTTATGTTATGTTTGGGAGCATAATCTTGAATTTGAGATTGGAACAAATTTAATTCAAAATTTACATTAAATTTTATCCAATTCTAAATTTAAGGCACCCTTTTTATGTCTGAAATGACAACAAATATTTTACAAGCAAAATGGTAAAATAACATAGTACCATTATCAAGTTGGACAACCCTTGTTAATCGGGAAAGGTAAGTAAAATTGTGAAACTTAAAAGTAATTTATGTGATTTATTAACAAATCTTAGGGAGGTAAGTGAAATTTATTCATTTTTTTCATCTGTCTCCTAATATTATGTTTGAGATGTAATAATATTATTTTTGCAAAATCGCGGTGCTCAAATTAAAATAAAAATAAATTTTGTTCATTCAGAGATCGCACGTGACGATTAAAACCATTATTATGATAATTATTTAGCCTTTACTTAGGAAAAAAAAAAAAAAAAAAACCATAATTATTGATAAGTTTCGAGATAAGAGGAGTGAAAAGCTTTGGACAAAAACAAATAAATAGTATTATGACAAAAACAATTTTCACATTGGTTATGATATGATAGAGTACACGTGCCTCGCATGCTGGTGACAAGGGGCTAAGTTGGCAATTATTCTGTGTTGGTTCACATGGGTGCACACATCATTGGTGCCTAAAAATCAGAAACCTGGAATACAAGGAACGAGTTATGTATGACATGCCAATGGTGTGCAATCCGTAACCTTCACTCCTAAAAACCATGTGTGTTTTGAGTTAATCTAAGTCTATATGTGTGTGTGTGAGTGTGTGTTTTAGAAATTGACTATATTTAATCAAGTTTGAGTTTGAGTTGTTTAATCACTCTCAAACATTAGCGCTGATAAAATAAAAAATTAAGTTTTAATTAATCGGATTTGGATTCTTTCCGAACCCTCTCTAAGTATAGACAAGTTTCTATTTGTAATAAAACACATATTTCAGTCAGTGACAGATTCAGAAAATTTTGTTAGAGGGCGGTCTTTTAATTTGTGAGGACAAACTTATATAGTGAATTTATTTTTGTAATTTTAATAAGGTTTTCTTCATAAATTTAAAAAAATTTAAGGTATAAAATGCAAAAAAAAAAAAAAATCAGTAGGACGAATTGTAATTTTAGTGAGGGCATCGTCAAAAATTCTCAAAAAATTGAAGTACAAAATGCAAAAAAGAGAATCCAGTGGGGGCATCTTCATAAATTCTAAAAAAATTGAGGTATAAAATAAAAATATAAAAAATTCAGTGGGGAGGTGCCTCCGCTGGTCCTATGTTGGGTCCGTACCTAATTCCTATAATATCACTGTTATCATTTATGTTACTACTCAGTATGTTTGATTTTCATACACAATTTAATTCAAGCAAAAATGATGAACTTGTTTGTAATTTGAAGTAATTGACATTTTTGTAAAAGAGTATGCCAAAAATGATGAACTTGTTCAAAGAACCACGGTCAAATATATTAAAGAAAGTGCAAGAACCCAACAAATTAAATTATTGAATAATGTTACATACCGATCTATTCATATTCATTTCGCGTTTCATCTGATTCCATAGCCATTCCACTAAGCGCTAGTCACACTATTAAACTCAAGATCTCCATCTTATAAGTGCAGTTCTTAATCAATTATTCCACTCCTTTGAGGTTATGATTTGTAGAGAAATTGACAAACGAAAAGAAAAAGAAGTGAAGATTTAACGAGAAACCACACAATTTGATGAAAAAAAAAAAATCCATGGCTTTCCTTTTGCCGTAACTTAGTATCACAACAGTTGGCATTTTGAGTTTAAATATGATTGTCAACTTCATAATAATTATTACCTCCTTTCTATTTTGAATATCCTACTTTAAAAAAAAAAAGTGTCTTTAATATAAGACACTTAAAATGAGATAAAAGGAGTATAGAATTTGATAAATGTAATGGTCCAATCATAAAATAAAAACCTAGTCACACATCTTATTAGCCTCTATATAGTAGGTGTTACATTGGATCAAAGTAGGTCTCCTTTATCATTCATGGTGGTTATTGGAGACCACACTGCCCAAAAACAACATTGTGACATGGTTGACTATATATGGTGATTTAGATTTAACTTTTGTGTCACAGTTTTCTTTTTCTTTTCGTGTGTTTTTTCGGAATTTGTGTCACAGTTTCAGAGTTCACACTCTCTTTAATTGAAGGGTCACATTTAGCTATGGTACTTTCGCCTTCTTTTGGGGCTTTAATTTGCTTGACAAACGCACATAACCTAATTATTCATCTTGCTCAACAAATTTGATTTTCACCTTTAACCCAAAAAAAAAAAAAAAAAAAAACAAATAAATTGGATTTCAAGGGAGACCATATATATATATATATATATATTATGCATTACTTGGTTAGGCATTACGTATTTATCAAAATATAAGTTCTTTTTATATGGTAGCAAACTTTTGCAAAAGAGTAATTATTTTGCCATCTATTCTTACAAAACGATGGCAGGTCTTGGAAAGCTGATGGGGAGAGAGGGAGCTCTTGATAGTATTACTTTAAAAATTGAAATTACAAACTTTGCTAGTTTATTTTTCAATTATTTTACATTTTTTTTTTTTGGAATCAATAATATTGAGAGAGAGGGAGAGAGTTTTACCAAAAGTAAAATAATAATAATAATAATAATAATAATAATAAAAAGTAAAAAAGAATATTGAACATTGGTTGAAAGCATATACTTTCACATATATTAAAATATAAACAAGACTTGCCTAAATATTATCGGATGTTGTCCAATCACAAATGTATAAATAGTAAAAAATGATTAATAAGGATAATAATTAACATAAATACTATGTATATGTATATATATATATGTGTGTGTATATATAAAATAAAATAAGCATATCATGTTGACCCAATTCCTTTGATCCTAGAAGTATTGATCATAGACTCACCTATTTATGGATTGTTTTTTTTTAGTGCAACCCAAGTCATGTTCATTAGTTAAGTCTCATTTAGTGGGCTCTAGTAAAATGTTTCGCTTGGGAACTTTTATTTTAGGTTACACCATTTACTGGTATTATATGGATGATGTATCTTGACCAAAAAAAAGTCTGAAATAGTATGCTTATTGAATACTCAAAACTCATTCTTGGTCTACCAAAGGAGCCCACTAACAATTAATCCAACAATAATTAGTGAATTCCCTTTCTTTTCTTTTCTTTTCCTTTTTCCATTTTTCCTTTACCCAAAGAAAGACATCATATATATATATATATATATATATATATATATATATATGTGTGTGTGTGACGAAGAAGAATATTAGAATCACTCAAAACATTAACTTCGCATTCGAATCAAAAGACATCTAATTCAATGGTATAAACTCTTAATCCTTAAATAGGAGGAAAGAGGTTTGAACGCAGGTATAGACAAAAAAAAAATATGCGTAAATAGATTTGTATATGTATTTCACCAGCTTGAAAAAATTGCATATATTATTCTCATAAATGTAAAAATGAGGTGTTAATGTAACCTTTTCTTCATTATGGAATGTTACAGATGAAGCTTGTTGTTTGCTTTGAAACAAATCTTAATAATTAATTGAAGAATTGCAATTTGAAAAACCATAAATTTTCGAAAAGTGACAAAAAAATAAAAAAAATAAAAAAAAGTAAAAAAATTTTCTTGTACTAATAACCGACCATTCTATTTTGATGTTGTCCCAACCCATGTTTCATTTAAATCCAGATGAATAATGCAAAGTTGGCCCAAGAAGGGCAGTCTAGCTGTTAAATCCATTAGGAGTTGAACAATTTTCTATATTTGCATCATCAAATACATAAATTCTATCACCAATATTAGATGGGACATGAGTTGGGATTAATTTCTAATTTAAATAATTTTATAAGAGACATTGTATGTTGGTGTGAGCAAGGCCTTGGAACTGTTCGTATGTCGTATGACTGATCGACAATTATTAGCGATTCCAACTTCATGCAAGCTAGTTGCAGCCTGCAATCTGAACTAAGAACGAGTTTTTGGAATTAGCTCACCATTGAGGGATCATGACCCCTTGTCCCGACCATTATAGAATGTGTGTCGCCTAGGACATAATAGACGGGATGACTGTTTTTAAATAAATTGATCTAATTTCCATGATTGTAGCCTCTAATTTATGTATGTGAGAGCTACTCATCATAATTTTTTGCATCTCTTATGAAGAACCCAAATCCAGGGATTAGGTGCATTGTATTGGCAACACAACTATATCACAGGGCAACACAAACGTATCAAGATACAATACTCTAAAGTTGCAAAATACAAGATCAATGTAACAAACTTCTAAAAAATTAATCTTTAAAATTGTCATATAATTATATATGTATATAACAAAAATATGTACCTATATATAGTAAGTTAGAGCAAGGGTAGGCAGCACATGCCCCTCTCGGCCTTAATTGGCTCTACCCCTAATTCAAATGATCATTTTTTTGGGTTTCGAACGATCTTAGAGCTGGTTACAAGTTACAACAATTAAGAATCGGTTTGTTTCATTTATCTAAAAATAATTTTTAGAGCTCGTTTGGAGTTGTTGGAATTAAAAAATAATAATAAAAAACATTTTAATTAATAGACCTATCAAAAAATTGGGATTAGTAAAAAAAAAAAAAAACATTCTATGTGTTTGATGACAAGTTATAATAAATACTTTTTACAATTAAATTATTTTTTAATTTGTTTTATAACAATATTTTTTAAATATTTATATTATTAATTTCATCCTAATATAGGATGTTACCATATTTAATAATAGTAATTTTATTAAAGAATAAGTGTCATTATTTTTATAAAAAATACAAAGGAAATGATTGACTAATGAAATTTTTTTTAACTGAAATATTCAATAGAGAACACAATTTTAAAAGTTACAAATTTTAGCTTCATTTAAACAGACTGAGTTAAATTTGGTAACCACTAAAAACATTTTTAATAGCTACCAAATACATCAAAAAACTGTTTTTAGAAAATTAGAAAAGAGACATTTTTTAAGCTATATTTTCAAAAAAGGGATTTCAAAAACTGTAGTCCAATACATATCTTTTTAAGAGTGTCAAAGTATTAGTTAGGAGAAAACAGAAAACTTTTCTCAAAAAAGCTGAAACAAACACCCAAAGTTTGGGGTAATCTTGATCAACTATTCAAATCAGATAATCCAACGGCACTGTTTTTGCATTGGTATATGATGCCGGGTGTTTGGGATCCTTTTCAGTTATCCGCTAAAACTTTTCAGTAGAGGCTGGGGTTTGCTTAAATTGCCACCGACAGTGACAATATAATCAAATCCTCTCCCCCCCACTACATGAATGGTCATGACTCTGAGAGGAGAGAGAGAGAGTTTTAGAGAGAGAAAGAGAGTGAGACCCTTGGGGCATGGGGAAGCAGGCATGTGGATGTGTGGGGGACACACCAAACTCATCAATAAAACTCGTTGAATAATTGAGTGAATGACAGAAAAGAAAGGAAAAAGAAAACAAAACAAAACAAAACTGGACCTCTCTCCCCCTCTCTCTCTCTCTCTCTCTCCCTCTTTCTCTCTCTAGTCTCCCCCCATTGTTACTTCTAATCTTTCTTGTACTGCATTGCTCAGTTTAAAGACTATTCACTAGAAAAAAGCAAAGGCACCCACAAGTCCTTACAACTGTTCCTTTAATTTGATTTCTCTCTCCCTGTGGAAGCAGAGTACTCCCTCTTCATATTTCTCTCCCTCTCTCTCGTGTTCATCATCTGTGTATTACTCACTTCTTGAAGATGCCTAGACCAGGCCCAAGACCCTATGAGTGTGTTAGAAGAGCTTGGCACAGTGATAGGCACAAACCCATCAGAGGCTCTCTCATTCAAGAAATTTTCAGGTACTCTAATTCCCTCTCTATCTCTCTATATCCATATATATACATAGGCATAAGAACCCATATATTTGTTTTTGTGTTTTTCATGAGTCTATTACATGTTTGATTAGGGTTGTCAATGGGATTCATAGCTCAGCAACTAAAAAGAACAAAGAATGGCAAGAGAAGCTCCCTATTGTGGTCTTGAAAGCTGAAGAAATTATGTATTCCAAGGCCAATTCTGAGGTATGTTCTGTACTTCACTGCGCTCAATTTCACTCATTTTTTTTTTGACTATTTGTCTCAATTGCCTTTGTTCTTTTGTATTTCTCCATTTGTTTTGCATCTTTTTGCTTGCTTAGACTGAGTATATGGATCTTAAAACTCTTTGGGACCGAGCAAATGAGGCCATTGACACGATAATCCGGCGAGATGAGAGTACTGAAACCGGAGAGCTTTTGTTGCCTTGTATTGAAGGTATACATTCATTCAATTTGCTTTTGTCTTTGCCAATTTTTAGTCTTTGAATAGGAATGATCATTTCTACAATTGGGTTTTAGTCATTTTGACAATTTACATGTCTGTTCGTATATATGCAAGTATCTATGTTTTTGTAATTGCATTTTGTCAATGTAATGGCTTAGGTGCTTGATTTTAATTACAAACAGAAGTAATTCGAAATACAAAACATGTAATATGCAATTCTCTCTATTTCAATTGGGTTTTAGTCATTTTGACACTTTACATGTCTATTACTATATATGCAAGTATATATGTTTTCTTGATTGCATTTTATCAGTGTAATGGCTTAGGCTTTAATGCTTGATTTCAATTACAAACAAAAGTAATTCGAAATATAAAACATCTAATATGCAATTCTCTTTATTTCAATTGGGCTTAGCTGCTCTCCATTTGGGCTGCACTCCAAGGAGATCTTCGAGGAGCCAACGGAACAGTAATCCAGGATGTTATCTTAGTGCCAGTGTTCCAGAGACTACCTCTGCCCCTCCTTGCAATTTAGATAACACAACTCAGGGAAATCAACAATTAAAGTCTTTCAATTCGAACTTCACGGTACCCAGCTACATGAATTCAACCCATTTGGGCTTGGACTCGAGCTTCCCTATCACTCAAAACAATAATTGTACTACTAACAAATCCCAATTTCTATCTGAGAAACTTCTTCCACATGGTACTAACCAATGTTTACCTATGGGAACTTATCCATCATCGAACTCGTGTTTGGTTTATCCCTTGTATTATGGAAATCACCTTCAATCTCAAGAACTCCAGTCTCACTTTGGCATCACTGCCAAGTCAAATTCACACACTCCTGACTCTGCTGAGACTGAGACTGGTGCTGTGCAAAACCTGTTGTTGTCTTGTAATGTAGATGCTTCAAACAAAATTCCTCAAACAGAGTTCAGGGACGCTCTTGAGAACTCACATAATATTGGGTGTGATTTATCATTGCGGTTAGGCCCTTTATCAATTCCTAGTGCAACTGTTGAGAATAGTTTGCACCAAGAGGTTGAAGATGTTGGTTCGAGTACTCATCGAGAGGGGAGGAAGTTGAGTGATTTATCTCCACCTATGGAAAAAGAGTTCTCTTTTTATCGCAAGGCCAACGCTGATGACTCGACAGACTTCTGTTTGAATAAATGGAGTTCTGAGTGTGAAAATATGAATGTGGATGCGACAATGAGAAAGCGGAAGGCAGTTGTTAGTCCACCATCTGAGGGTAGGCAATTTTGTTGGCAGCGAACTGTTTCATCTAACCTTCTTACTGGAAGAATGAGCAGTGCAGGTTTGTAGACTAACTTCTACTTAAGTTGTTCTCTATAAAATTTTGAAATGGTATAGCAATTATGTATTATTGTAGCCCTTCCTGCAATGTTGCTGTACTTAACAACTATGACCACTTGATCATGGTTGCTTGTTTCAACAATGAAAAATATTGTCCAAATAAAGACTGGGTTTTAAATTTATGTCCAAAAAAGTTAACATATCTTACATAATGCTGCTACCAGAACGTAAAGTAATTATGACATTAAACTGTATTGGCTTCATTTGATTTATTTATATTTGATCAAATTTTAAGAGAAAAAAGGAAGATTCTTGGTGGCCAAATTAAAATAACAGAGAACTTTAAAAAGGCTCTTTTGAGGGCCTATCTAACGGTTCTTTTGATGCAATGAGAGCTTTGTATAAATTGAGCTAGTTGTATAGCCAGCTCGGTAAAGTTAAAATGTGTGAAGGAGGCAATGCTGCTGGTGGAGTTTGAAGCAGATGTTGGATTGCAGATGAAGAAGAAAAAGGTTTTAGACGTTGCGAGTCCTAGAATTGAAAGCAAGGATGACCATACCAGCACGATAATAAATGTATTAAAGGTGAGAAAAATTCATTTGAATAGCTTACATGGAGTTATGAAGCTATTTATTTAAATTGGCATTCCTGTAAACCTAATGTCGAATAGTCAATTAGTCATACAGGTATTTCTAGTTCAGTTAGGAAATTTTGTGAACCTATATGTTTGGTGTAGTGGTAAAAGCTCAGTGTGACAATCATGAAGATGCTGGTCAGAATCTTATTGCAGTTACTTTGTGAAACAATGTGTCATAGGTTAGGTGTGTTTTCATTATTCCCCTTCCAGCACTATGCGTAGACCGGACTTATACTGAGTAATGCACTTCTTATGCACTTTGTACTGTTGTGAAGCTTTCTGAGATAAATTGTTGCATAGAGTCATCTTCCTTAACATGGGGCTTCTGTATTACATGTCTAGATCCATTTAAGCCCTCCATATAGATGCTAGTTGTACAGTTCTTCTAGGGTTTGTCATTATGTCCAAATGAAGCTTACTGTTTTTTGTAAATAAAACTTTAATATCAACGGTTGGGAAAGAAGTAATATTGAGTCAATGGACCTTAGGTTAGTGCACTGCACAGTGCTCGGTCGAATTAAAAGTGGGGATGAAATGATGTTGAAATTCTGGATAGGGCTTCTTGTTTGTTGAGTGGGGAGCAAAGAGGTGTCACTTTGCCAATCCATATGTTATATTTAGTCAATATGCCTGAGGTCCATGGACCCCATTACGTTGATAGATAAATATTCGCATAAACTGGAATCTAAAAATCTTTTTTTTTTTTTTTTTATACCTTCTTATTTTTCTAAATCAGTTAGGGGGTGGCAGGAAACACTTGATGGAAGACAAGATAGTGCTTTTCATTTGTATAAGTGGTGGTACAGGCTATGAATGTGCATCAACCATATGTTGGATTAGAGTATAAAGAACAGAATGTTGAATTCTAGTATATGTGAATATCGATCTATATATATATATTTCGAATAATGAATTCTAGTATATGTGAATATCGATCTATCTATATATATTTCGAATAATGAATTTGGACAAATCATACAATGTAAGAATAGTTGCTTCACCATGAGAGTGCAACATTATAAAGCACAGCCCTGAGGATAGGGAACAAAAATCTGAAGGTATGTTATGCGAAAATGGTGGACCCCCGACGAGTAAAAGGTTCATAATGGTGAGTTGTGTGGAACTGAAATTCGAGAATCTGACATCCCAACAGCTAAGGATTTCATTGTTGGTTGTTGGCAGATTAAATTATATGGAAACATGTATTCTGTTTTCATCTCTTCTATGTCAGCTCAAGTATAGTTTTGGTAACTTTTAGGATATTAAATGATGGTAGGTACCACATTTTGTCTGCATACATGCATTATTTGACTTGGAATGAGTTGGTTAGAAGTTAATTTATTGATGAAATCCTCCAATCCATGAGTGAAAGAGAGGGGAAGGAAGCAATTGATATGGTTGATTGATTGTTTTGAAAGTTGTACAAAGACAATGAATTACACATATTTCAGGGAATGTAATATGTACTAATGCTCTCTATTTTTAGAAGCAGGCCCTCAGAAAAAAGGTCCTTTCTTTTTTACTAGGAACACAAGGTCATCCACTATCACCTCTCTCATTCATTTGGCATTCTTTCCTCTGATCCATAAAACATGCTTGCTTGCTTGTGATGGAATTGTTAAAGTTGTTTGAGTGGATAGGTCCTATTTGGCTAAAAGCTATGTTCTTTACCAGGTTAATTTCTTGTTTACTTGGAAACATCATTAGATGGTAATGTAGAAGTAGAAAAGAAAAAAAAAACGTGGAGGGAATGTGACAACACCGTCTGATTAACACTTTGGTATACTATAAAGTGATACAGTAATCTCCTCCTCAGACTCATCCCAAAAAGATGCCTTCATCTGCTTTTGGATCAAAATTTCCAATATCGGAATAAGATTGGATCTTACCAATAATACTTCTGGATATTAGCAAAAAACCGGTCCTTTTCTTGGTTGGACCAATTGGAGGGAATTTTGCCAATCACGAGATAATTTACTATATCGGTGAACCTCTCTAATGGATAGTTCAGGATATTGGGGGGAATCACAACAAGGAAGGGAAATTCTCATCAACAAGAAGAAAAGTTATAGTCATGTAGGTAATATCGTTGTTTCCAGTTCTGCAAGTTCATAACAGGGAGAAAAGTTTATTATAACAAAGTGTAGTAATCAGAAAACAAGTTGGCAACCATAAAACAATAGATTTGCTTAGCTTTCACTCTCTATGGACATACACCATTTGCAAATAACAATCTGAGCATTATATGCACATAAACAAGGTATTCAAGTGTGTCTGGTGATTCTCAGCTACCCCCTTCTTCCTTCCGGTAACCCTGTTGACTAAATTTTATAAAATGACAATTTTGCCTTCCCTAGAATAGAATGCAATACAATATATTATTATCATATAAGGGCATTATTGACTTTTCATATTCAAGGTCACTTTTCAGCCGCAGGTAAACGGGTTTAGGGGAGATCAAAGTAATAAAAGGTGAATGGTGTACCTGTGTGTAATTTACCCAAAGGGAAAATATGCCAAGTGCATTGTGGCGTTGGGGCAATAGACAGTTACTGCCAAGGTTGTAGGCTAGTGGTATTTCTTCACCTTCCAAAATTTAAAATTAAATTGAGGGTTTAAGTCTGTGTAAAAGAAAAAGTGGATGGGTGAGTTTCTGGTGGATACTCAAACACATTTCAAGCGAGTGCCTGGCGTGCACCAGATCAAGGATGGGTCTACCTTTGATACCAACTATAACAAGTTGGACACTTACCCTCTGATCCAAAAGTTTAAGTTGTTGGATAGTGTTACATATTCGCTGATATATATCTATTCATTTTTCATTCAAATCCGATATGGAATGAGCCCCTCCAACACTATGATATTAGCACTCTAGCATTCAAAGTAAAACTTTGCAATAATTGATTTCAAAATGAAAATGTTTGCTTCATAATATATATTTTTTCATAAATATGTTTGCTTCATATTATAGCAACATTCTTATTACACAAAAGAAGAAAAAAAACTAATAATGAAAGAGAGAACATTCTTATTTAGTCTATCTAGACTACTTGCAGAAACAATCAATGGACTATATGACACTCGAGCCCAAACATGTGTCCTAAACCCCTAACTTGTAGGGACCCTGGACCCACTCGAGCCCAAACCTGTGCCACTAGCCCACATTAACGAGACCAGTAATCATGCACCTTTTATGACTTTGCTTGAAATCAATGAAATGAAAATTATTGACCTTGCTCAAGCCTATCAAAAAAGGTATACAATGGTTTGAACTTTGAACAAAGATTCATACCATTCTTGCATGCATAATGCTATATCACAAATACGTACGGTCTACAACAAGATTAATGTTGTGTTTGAGAGCATTGAGTCAACGTATGTGATTTTTTTTTTTTTTTTTTCCGCCCCACCCTAGTTTCAACATTTGTGAATTGGAAATGACGAAATTTTTGATTCAACACTTTGAACTAAATTTTCTCTAATTGCAAATCTAAAATGTCGATTCAGTATAAAAACACCTTTGAACCACACCATGTGCTATGTTTATTGATATAAAACACCTCTTGAATTATGTGCGTACATGTAGAAGAGAGAAACTTCCCACTTGGAATGTTTCTAGAATAGTCTCCTAACCCAAAAACCATACTTAATTACCCACTTGACGCATATGGATACCCAAAATCACTATCCTAGGAATCTCTTTCAAGCTATACAAATTATACAATATTGATAGTCCAAAAAATACATACATACATATATATATATAATAAATAAAAGGAAAGAAAGAAAAAAATGTAGTAACTTCAACATTGTTGAAAATTGATAAAGTTGAGTCACCTAATGCTTATTATAAGTGAAGTTTGATGAATGTTTCTTCTTTTTCTTCAAGAGAGATTTTTTCAAAAGTGTGTCAATTAAGCAAAAGTGGCTTTTAATACTTGTTTATGTTATTTTTACCTCATTTTTCAGTGCCTAACACAAACAAACACCTTTGCTCCTTCATTGGCCAATCTTGGTCAATCTCTTGTAAATATACATCCACACAATACATATAATACAAGAAAAAAATGTTTCTTAGAGTCAAAGACTAAATTGACAAAAGGAAGATGACATATGAGATATATAATATATAACATATGAGATGACATCATAAAAAAAGTAATACAATTTACTATCTTAAATACACATTATACATTATCTTGACAACGAAATTTTATTAGTAAGTAGCGCTACACATCTTGAATTTGACGTGGGATAATTAAAAAAATATTAATGTACTCTATTTTAATACATGTTACACTTTATCTTTTATGTATTTGTGTTTCCTATTCTACCAAACTAGACGAATTGACAATTGAAAAAAAATGAAAGAACCAACAATTACACTAGATTTCTCTATTTATCTCAAATTTATTTTTCTCTACTAATATTTTTCATTATATATACTCTCTTATGCACTCTCCCAACTTCTTTGTTGAATATTTCTTTAAAATTTAACCGTAATCAGAAAATATCAAATCAAAATACAAATTATAAAAAG